GCAGGAACTGTGGACTGAGATGGTGAGGGCAAATAATCTGGCACTCTGTGTAAACATGCAAAAGAAATGAAATCTACCTGTGGGAGGTAGAAAGATCAGAGAGCAATGTTGGTTCACAGAAGAGGTGCAAAGTCAAAGTAAACTGAATTTATATAAAGGTCAACTTCTTTTTATGATATGGGACATATGATGAGATGCAAAGGGATGAGACACCTTTACAGAAAATTACATTATCTAACATTGGAAAACTGATTTGATGACTCTAAAACATAGATTCCACACCCACAAGAGCTTATCTCTGCCTCCACAACTCCTACAGTATCATCAAATTGATGCTATCTCTGGATATAAGCACTCATGCTTTCTGCCTATGAGCATTCTAGAACTCTCAAAGAATAAACAAGTTTGAAAGGATAAATGAGAAAGTAGAAAAAGAAGTGCACCAAAAATATGGAAAAGGGTTATTCCTAATGTATCAAAGCACTCACAAATTAATACTACAAATAAATGCTACTATCCTAACTGAAAATGGAGAAAATGATTTGAGTCAATGAAAATAATAAGACTATAAGCATGCAAAAGTCAATTTAGACTCACTTGTAATAAAAATGCTAATTAAATCAATTGCATGCATGCATTCATCTCTATCAGATTAACAAGTGTCCAAATGCTAATGAAGATCAAATAGAACTATCAGTGAGGTTCAACTTGGTAAAACTATTCCAGAAACCAACACTACATTCCAATTATCCAATAGAAAAAAACAGGGAAAGAAAATATTAAAATTTGGTGTAGGTTATCATTAGTCACACAATTATCGGCAATTTTCTATAGAGAAATAAATCATTTTTAAAATTAGAAAAAAAATAGGTGTGTGTGTGGGGGGTTGGGGGGGACTTTCAAGTAGTGATAGGAAGGGAGCCTGGGAGTCACTCTTGCAACTCTCGCTACTAGACTAGAAAATTCAATGTTTGGGCCAGGAATATAGAAGTTCCTGGGCCTGGTGGTACTGCGGACCACCATGGTCACTTGGTACTCAAAGAGTAATGCACTAACATAGTTCAAACTAAGTTTCCTGAGGATGCAAGGCAAGTGTCTCTGACTATAGTGCTGTCCCTTAGTCCCAGAAAAAGAAATTCTTTTTTGGTTTTTGGGCTGGAACAATAGCACAGCAGGTAGGGCATTTGCCTTGCACATGGCCTACCTGGATTTGATTCCTCCGACCCTCTCAGAGAGCCCAGCAAGCTACTGAAATATCCCACCCACATGACAGAGTCTGGCAAGCTCCCTGTGGTGTATTCGATATGCCAAAACAGTAACAAGTCTCACAATGGAGATGTTACTGGTGCTTGCTTGAGCAAATTGATGACCAATGGGAGGACAGTGCTACAGTGCTACAGTGCTATTTTAGTTTTCAGGTGACACCTGATGATTTTCAGAACTTATTCCCAGATCTCTGCTCAGGAATTGCTCCTGGAAGTGCTTGGGTGTCAGGAATTGAACCTGGGTTATCTGCATGCAAGAGAAGCACTTTACCTACAGTACTATCTCTTTGGCCTTACAAATAAAATATTTTAAAGTCCATTGTAAATTAAAATAAATTTATAGTTTATTGCTAAGATATCTTATTTATTATGATTAAAAAACAGGCACAAAGGATATATGGTATCACAACAGAGTGAAATATACATAGACTCACAAAGACAATGTAGTATGAGGCATGAGCCTTTGGAATCACTAGAATTCTGATTATAGCTCTCATATCTACCTGCAGTGTGAGCTGAGGCTAGTTAAACAATTTCTCTCAGTCTAGGTTTCCTTATTTCTGAAATGGTGACAACCTCTATTTGCCTCTATAAGGCTTTTGTGAGAATAAAATATGATTAATCTTAGTATAGAGGCTGATATACAGGAAGTACTTCATAAAGGTAGCAGTCATATCTGCATTGAAAAATAATAGAAGGAAGGATTGGGGGAAGGAATTATTGCCATAATCACATTTTCAGGGCATTCAAATTTCCTAAAATGTTCATGCATTATTTTGGAAATGGGAATGAATTGTTACATAGGACACAACATGTAATGTGAATACACTGTCTACCTCATTAAAAAGCAGTTCTCGTCTCTGTTGCTTTCGGAGGTCCATTTTCTTCACTGCAACTTGTTTCCCTGTGTGTTTTTCAGTTGCAATGCACACAATGCCGGTTGACCCTTCTCCAATTTTGATAAAGTTGTCCAAGTATTCCCTGGGGTCTCCTGGGCTGACCACTAGCTGCAGGGCAGCCCGAAACTGTTCATGGGACACCCTAGAGGGTTGCTGATCTGAGGAGGAGCCCCAGCTGGGTGGTGGGTAGCTGCTGGATGAAATGCTGAGAGAACTCAGATAAGAAGCAGTAGAGATGTACTGTGAGCTGCTCTGCAGGGATGGATGGTGATAGAGGGTGGCTTTGTGGTATCCGGATGGGTACTGTTGACTGCTTGAGGAATAGCCTGCTTTGCTTTGACTCTGAGGTAGTTTGGAGGGGCCCCTGGGATAAGTGTCAGACCCTGACAGTGGAGGACTGAGGACCATCTGTGCTCGATCATAATCCACCTGGGAAGACAAACAGATAGAAAATATTCATATTTTACAATCCAATGTCACAGGCTAGTTGGTTAGGACCAAACCACTGAAGTTCTGATGAAAGCACCACTGCATATCCACTGGGGAGTGCAGTCTACCTCTTGAGTCCTAGGATGCTTCCGCCACCACCCTTTATCTGCCTTCTAATTTTTCTTCAAAGCCTCTTTGTGTTTCCTTATCCTTTCCTATTAAATCTCTGGAAGCAGATATGGATTTAAATTTAAGTAGTAGTAGGTGATTATGAAATGAGCTAGGGAAAGTGAAAATGTGTTCTAGAACATAATGCGCTAACATGTTTGGGTGATACTACCCAATCACTTGGTCAAAACTAGTACAGATATGTGCAAAGGTATTTTTGAGACACAATTCACATTTGTCATTAGATTTTGAATAAAACAGATGGCCTTCCATAATATGACTAAATGGTACCCAATCCCTTGAAGATAAAGACTGATCACAAAAGTAGGAGTGGTCTTTGCCTCGAAACACACCATCAATTCCTGGTAGAATTTCCAGATGGTCAAGCTTTCTGGCATATATGGGAATTGCCAGCCTTCACAATCTTGAATGGATCTATTCCTCATATTCTTGTTTTTAGTTCTCATTCTCTTTCTATCCCTCCCACCCACCCACACACGTACACCTCATACACATAAACATATCATGTTAATTCTATTTCTTTAGTCAACTCTGAGAAACACACAGAAAGTTACCATTGAAGCAAATGAAACTTAACCTCACTTGTTAACTCTGAATACTGGGAGATAAGCATCTTAAAAGTGTCCCATCTGAGGACCAGAGAGCAGAACCAGCACCTTCAAACAATATTTAACATCTGTTCCTGGAAGTATTAATTCTCTGGTGCATGTGGTCTGCCCCTCCCTGGGTGGAGCAGACTCCAGTGGAAGGAGAAAACTCCTACAGCAGAACTCTTCAATTGCCAGACCAGATAATTCAGTAATATTGTAGAGGCTCTCTGTTGTTTGTTGTTTAGCAGTGTTTCTGGGCTCTACTTCCTAGATGACCATAGTATCCACTCTTCCCTGTTATGATCTACACAGACATCTTAAACTATTGCCAAATGACCATGGGATATGGGTTAAATTGTCCTTGACTGGAAACCACTGCATTAGGCAAAATTTTTTTTTAAAAAGCACTACTGCTACATAGAAACAGGAGGAGATGAAGGACTCCATATGGCTGGGACACCAGCAGCAGTTGCCAGACCTCAGATGCCATCTTCACCTAGTCATGAACTCGAGGCAGAGCTTTAGTTAAAGTGTGCTTCATTCAAAGTGTGTTTGCTACCTAAGCAAATGAATCTACAAGCCAGGTAAAGATGATAATGGGCTATTTAAATTGCCACCATTCCAAGAAAATATCTGAAGTTCTTCCGCATTTTTTATTGCTTCCAGAGCTTACTACATCCAGCATGCACCACTGCCTCAGTTGGAAAATACCACAGTTGAGTGGTTTATGCCAGGCAGTCTCAAACCAACTGGCAGATATGACAGAAGCTACTGAGCTGGGGCCCTGGCTAGAGTTTAGAGTACATAAAATACAAAAACACATTTAGAGTAGAGGGTCAAAATAAGTTTGAATTCTGATTCTGATGGTTTTAGCCAAATCACTTAGCCCCTCGGAGACTCAGTTTCTTTATCCATGAACTGTAAATCACGCAGAGATTTACAGTTCATGAAATCATAAACCTTAAGTGTGGAAAATGTTTTCTTTTAAAAATGCAGACAGGGCTGGATAGATAGTATAGGTGGTAAGAGTCTTTCCTTGCAGGTGGCTGACCTTGATTTGAGTATGTGGCACCTCATGTGGTCCCCGGAGCACTGTTGGGGTCACTCCTGAGTACAGATCCAGGAATAACTCTTCAGAATTACCAGGTAAGACCAAAACTCCCATCACACCCCAGCTGCCCCACCAAAAAAAAAGGGGGGAATACAGGTTCAGAACTCAAAAATGTTAAGCTCAAGATTAGCCAAGCACAGTGTGTGACAGAAAGTGGAGTTTATTTCTCACAATGGACCCTGGTACCATTTTGTACTGTTTCCCAGTGTCTTCCAATTTGATTCTGAACTTGAAGTGAAACTAAATTCATTTCTCACAAGCATGTGTGACTTATCCCTAAAAATATATTAGAAATCAGTAAGGTGAGTCCTGTAGAAATTGTAAGCACACATCTACACTGCATTAGGTCATTTTTCTTCTTTACTGACTGTAACCAAATCTGCTTGCCAAAGCTCTTTACACATTTCAAAAAGAAAAGGATGCTTACCTCCATGAAATGACAGGCTCCATTCAAAGATAGAATGCAGAGCTGTTTGTGAGACCTAAACAAGCTTTGAAATTAGGTCTGTAAGGCAAAATAGTGCTATTGTCTTTCGTGGTTTTTAGCAAGAACCACAGGCTCTTAAAAATAAAACAAATGAAAAGCAAACACTATAATATGACAGTTCTTTGAATCAAATGAACCAAATTCGAGGTATACTGCCCAGAGAGGAGAAACGGTTGTGTACCTCTAAAACAAGAGAACATGGTACTCTTTCTACTCTCCCTTGATTTCAGTTCATTCAAGGACAGTGAAGACAAATAGTTGACTTTTAAAAGGAAAGATCATGAATGACATTACTGTTCCATCAAATCACAGAACTATAATGCTCAATTTAGTCTTCATCCCACCATGGTTTTGTGATGGTAATTATTGCTAGCCTGCACATCTATGAAAGGCCTTTCTTTTAGATTATGAGAGTCAAATAGAGAGTAGTATATTCTGCTTTGTTATAGGTTGTACTGAGACTCAGGTATGTAAACCTGCCTCATTACGAGGTACATGACCTATATTCTTAAGTAGATTAAAAGGTACAATTCTTCTGCTCAGTGTGTACCCACTTGCTCTTACCATTGTATCACACTCTGGTACACTGGGCCCACTTTATTGTTTGTCTTTATATTTTTATCACTGGTTGTGACCATTCCAATTTGTATAATTAAGGATAGAGTACTTTCTCCTTGATAAGACACAGGGGTGCTTTGTTGGGAGCCAGAATTAGGCCCCTGCCACCAAATAACTGCTCTGTTGAAATCTATTGCAGTGGGATCAACACACGGTAAAAATCTACCTGACACTACTGAGTGCATTCTTTGAACCAGGGACTTTTATAAGCACTTTACATTCATGATTACATTTAAACTTCAAGTTATACAATGATATATGTACTATAATGGTTGCATTTTACCAATTATGAGACCAAAGCACAATGAGTGTAAGTAGGTCAGGCAGAGGTCCAAGAACTAAAGAGTGGAGTTAGGAAATTAAATCCAGACTTTGAAATATGGACCTTTGCTAAATTCTCAGATACATAGTTCAGTGATTAGACAGTAGCTGTGGTTTGCACAGTGATTGGAATTATGGAGTGATGCTTATAGAACTAAAATCTAGTTAGGTTGTTCCAGTAGGGACACAGATGTCTGAGCAGCCCTGAGCAAAAATGCAAGAATTGGACCAGAAAATGATGGATGGATATGCCTTAGGGAGTGGGAAGAAGAAAAAAATTAGGTTTTTGTTTTTAACGGACTCAACTTAGCAAAATCAGTTTTAAAAAATATGGAATAATCATGATAGAAATCAAGTGTTCGCTTATGTAACATAATTCATTGCTTTCCTATTTGCTTTAGTCAGAATAAAATTTTGTGCCTTGCTACAACTGTACCCATATGTTCTTGTGTTCTTTAAAGAGAGAAAGCTCAAGCCTTTTATAACATCCTCTTACCTGGTTTTGGAAATGTTACAATTATATTTAATTGTTCTTCATTGTCTTTTTTGATGATACCCTCTAAATCTGAAGTGGGTACAACAGAAATGAAGTACTCATTCAGAACTATCACTTTGTATATAACACACGAGGACATGTACATAAGAAAGACTTGCAGAGAAATAAAGCTTGGCCTGCTCCTTTTTCTACCAATACCTTCAAGGAAGGGGAAAAGACTCATGTGCAGTACCTATGAACAGTCGATTTTAATCATTTAGTGAGGCCACAGTATAGAGGAAATAAAATGGGGGAAAAGAGTATTGAAATTTAATAAGTTAATGTATCTCCCACTACATTATTTCTTAAACAGTCTATGCAATGTAGTTTAGCCTTGGTCTTACTCAAGGGCACAGTTACCAGGGACATGGACAAAAGCCACTGTGCAGGAGAGGAAACAGTGGGACTTTTGTTTCCTTGGGGTAAAGGGGCTTTTCCCTCATTCCTGTGAACTGAGCAGTCTTGGGATTTTGTGAAGTGATCCTTGAAATGAGACCTAGGTCTGCAGACTTGGAAGTGGGGGTGTGGCGGTGAGTGAGTGTGTGTGTGTGTGTGTGTGTGTGCGTGTGCGCGCACGGCACGCGTGTGTGTGTGTGTGTGTGTGTGTGGAGGGGGGGCATTCCATGTGGCAAGATGTAATAAGAAAAGACTAAATAGGTTTTGAAAATTATCACCCAGGCTTCCAAATTGCTTAGCTGCAGTGTTACAGGCTACCCATTATCAACAAAAGCTGGCTATGCGAGGAGAAGGAATCCTTTCTATAGGAATCTCTCAGGAACCAGGAGAGCATGCAAGCAGCCTTGGTTGGCATCATTCCTCTTTGGAATGGTTAAACACACACATTCAATTTTCATTTTCCTGATGTCTTTCAGTATACCACATGAGTGAATTCTTACAGAAGTGTGCTTTCTCATGTCTTATTCAAAGCCAAGGGGGGAAAAAGCCAGAAAATGGGAAATCATTATACGGGAATGAATAAACGATTTCCAGTTAACAACCCAGCCGGACTACCCAGCCACAATGAGTGCGACATCTCCAAGGATCAGGTCAGACATAGGCTTGTGATGTATCAAAATTATAAATAATTATAGCAATGAATTCATTTAATCAATCAATTTCACCAGTGGTGCGCTGGGGTGGACAGGGCAT